CCACTTATTTTGCAAGAAAATGTTTGTCTATAACTTTCCAACATAGGAAAATAATTGATAGACAACTTTTTTATATAAGTTTTTTATACAACTTTAAATGTCATTTAATGATTAGTTATTTTTACTCAATTAGAACTTGTGATATAGAATATATCTGTTTATTTAATGACATATGAAAATTTTATTAAGAAATAATATAAAAAATTATCGATATATCACTAACCTTCCAACGTAATTTCTATTCTGTATCATTAATTTAACGTGTTATTATATGATTGATTTTTTTCATTCAATGATTCATTCGTGATATTATATATATCTATGCATTCAATAATACAATATGATTGTATGTTTATTTTTCTATGTGATATTGTAACTTATATTATTGAAAATGATTGTAAGTATAATGCCTTAACCCCAAGGGTTGGATCCATGGATAAACAAGTGTTATCTTGTAGATAAAGTTTAAAGTTCAAATTTTAAGTCAACACCAAGAAATTAATTTCTTTAAATACACCAAGTCAATGCGAGAGGTGTCCCTTTAAGATCACTTAGAAAGGGATTAAACTCAAGATGTGCAAAACTTGGCATGGGGGACACCCCAATTATAATATCAATAATAAAACAATGTTCTAATTTGTATAATGTCACATGATAGTAAATGAATAAATTCATATTAATTCATGAGTGACTTAAATAAAAAAAATTAATTATAAAAATGACACAGTATATTTTATAAACTATTGTATTTAAAATCATTATACCTCTATCATTTTCCATCAAAATTTTGCCTTGTGCCATCAATTTGGCAGCCTACTCCGTGCAATAAGCACAACAATATGGATTTCCATAAGGTAAACTAATTGTAATGCTCTGAATCTCATATCAATAGAGAATTGTGAGTAAGTTTAATAAATAAGTATGAAGATCAATTACTATTAATGACTTAAGTTTGAGCTTTTGGGATACTGTGGATCTTAGCAAGAGTTGTTAGGATAGTGGCTAGTTTTGATTTGAGTTGTTTCACTAACAAACACAAAAAACCCTAAGGTATTGTTTGGATTGGAGGTGTCGGACGGAGAGGGAGGGGAAGGGATGGGGACGGATGGCAAGGGAGGGGGAGTGAGGGGGAGCTGTCTCCTTCCTCTTGTTTGGGTTTCCAAAGAGGCAGAGGGGGGAGGGAGATAGACTGATTCGGACTCCCTTCAACCCCCCTCAAATCTGCAGATTTGCAATCCTCCCGATTTGGGGGGTTTGGGAGGGATTTGAGTAGCTGTTTACATTAAGCTAAATGTAATTACAAAATTAACCTTAATTTTTTTATTATATCCTTCTCCATTACAAGCTTAAAGGGTAAATTTGTAAATTTAAAATTAATTTAAATCCTTCCCTTTCTTCCCTTCCTTTTACCTTAATTATCCAAACATAAGATAATACAATTCTTCACTTCCCTTCCCCTTCCTCATTTTTATTTATCCAAACAAAATTAACACAAATCATTTCCTTCTATTTTCTTCCCTTCCCTTTCTTTTCCTCCCCCTCCATTTCCTTTTATTTTCCTCCATTCCCCTCCCTTCCCTTCCCTTTACTATTTTCTATCCAAACAAGGCGTAAGGGTTGATCCATTAGTAAATAGGTATCATCTTATAAGTCAGGTTTAATGTTTAAGTCTTAAAACCAATTATTAAATAAATAAACAACTTGATGTATTAAGATCACCTAGGGAGGATTACTCTCGAGTTGCACAAAACAAGCACCTTGATCGTAAATGCAAAAAAAAAAAAAAAAAAAAAAGTTATTAAAATGATTTGTTTGATGCAGATTTGGTTGTCCTTAGATTAAAGTATCAAATCTAGACTAAACTATAAGTATTTATTTAAATTTTGGCGCGAAACTATTAACAGAACTGTTTGAGAATACAGGGCCGGCCGTGTTGAAAAGGTCAAGCCTCGATTCTCGTAAGCAAAAGGAGAACGTAATAGCAACGGAAGAGGGCCAAGGGGCCACAGTTGAAAAAATGTATCTTTTTGATTCCCTTTGTTTTTCCGTGAAATTGCGTTCAAAAAATGTATCATTTTTGATTCTCTTTGTTTTTTTGTGAAATTGCGTTCATGATTCGAACGATTATCGCAAGCCGTCGCA